AGCTGTTTAATAACCAATCAGTTCAGTAATATATGTTTATATATATGTTTATTGATTATGGTTGCATAGAAAGGGAGCAGGTCTTTGCTTGAATCAGCGTCCATATTAGAAAGTGTGTTTGAAGTTGAACACATGCTTGCAGGTTAGATTGACCACAGAGGAAGGTAGTAATGCTGTGGGAAGAGAAAGTACTGTTGCTATGGTTACCCACAGTTTAACATAACATGCAAACTGATGTAGAACGGAGGTTAAGGCTGTTGTCTGCACACACCTGTATGATTCATGTTCATTTCAGTGGATTTAATGATGGTTGTGAGCACAAAGGTGGTGAATATAATGCATCTTATTGCACTTTGGACTACTGCTAACACTGGCATGTTTACATTTTAATGTTGATTATGAATCATTCAGTATTCATAATCGACATTAAATTAATTGAACTGAATTAATTGAACTAAAAATTAGCTTAAATCAATCAGAATCACTTCTGTCATTATGGAGTTATATTTTCCACGATTCAATCAGGTCATTGTGCAGAAACTATGAGCACCAAAGTATCGAATGATCAAATAAATGATTCCTTATCGATATGTTGTTCTATTTCATTAATATTCATACTGGTGTAAATGTCTGATGGTATTTCTCATCGTTGCTGAGCAGAAGGTATGAGCTAAAGGAATTAAAAGCCTGTTCCCAAATAAAGGCCGGCTGAGTTAAGTGACCTGAAGCAGGATGAAATGGGAGAAGAGTTTTATGTTCAATTTCAATTAAATTTTGATTTGTATAGTGCCAATTCCATAACAGAAGTTATCTCATGACACGTTTCAAATAGAGCACAGCCACATTTTCCAGAAAATGTTATTTTATTAAAAATATCAGAATTAGTTCTCTGCATGTTTTACTGAATCAACTGAAGTCTTATTTTTAATAAAAGGACAACATCTACCAACTGATGAACATTTTCTGTATGGTTCTGTTTTCCAACCACCAGACCTCGGCTCGCTCGCTCTCCCTCCTCCTCACTCCTCCTCCTCCTCACTCCTCCTCTCCTCCTTGAGCCTCCGCCTCCCACCTTTTTTCCTCTCAGACTCACCCACAGCAGAGTCCTTGAAGCTCTCCATTGAGCCGCTCCAGGATAATGAGCCGATGAAGAAAAAAGAGGCTTTACAGTTTCACTCTCTGAGTGTGATTCCTGCGGCCTTCTTTATTCAGAATAAACATGAATTTTAGCGGTGGAATTAATGCGTGCAACCACTCAGCGTTTCATACTCAGTCTGTGATTTCCTACCTTACCCAGAGTGACTCTACCAGCCCACAGAGAGAGAGAGAGAGAGAGAGAGAGCTTGTTCCATTCAGGTGTGGGTTCAGTATGTAGGAGGAGGGAGCGAAATAAATATTTTTCCAGTCAAGAAAAAAGAAAACGGTGTCATGCAGACCACATACTCAAACACAAAGAGTCAACACGGCCTCCATAGAGGTCTGCTATTGAAATGATTTAGTAGTTTTGTTTTTCAAGCAGCATTTTGTTTTAGAAAATCAGCGATTATTAATCAGAGTGACTGTAGACTCTGCGAAGGTAAAGATAAAAAGAACAACACATAAAGGGCAACTTACCAGCTTTTTACTGGAGATTTCATTCACTGTGTTCCTCAGCCGATGGAAACAGCAGAAACATCATGTGACAGCCGAGAGACCGAAGACCATGGGATGTGTGTGAAAGCTCTGAAAAAAGCTAAAAGCTAGAAGAGAACAGTCTTAGTTGCGTTAATTTACATGTTAATTTCAAAGATTTTTATTTGTTACAAACTGTGAAAAAACTTTAATGCTGTTTTTATTATAGATCTGAATGTTTAATATAATGTCCAACATACCAAAGACTGAAAACTTAAAGCTCTAACCTGTTCCTCATTAAACAGTGTATAAGCTCTATGTTCTGTATGTAGTTG